ATGTTTTTATTTATTGTCTTCACGTCGTTCAGTGAATGTTTTGTGCCACCACTTGCATTCTTGATATTAGAGGCTCCCCAAAACAGGTCTATAATAATAGATTGTCAAAAAAGTTTTGCGGTATTTTGCGGGCCCAGCTCTTGACCGATGCTACGGCTGCTACTATGCCGGTCTCTTTCGACCAATTCAGCGTTTTTTCGCAATTTTCGACTACAGGCCTTCCGGAGCGTGGCGCATCTTCGACCACCTCTACACCAGAACGGAAATGTTGAAACCATCGTTGTGCGGTGGAAATGGAAACTGTAGCGGGTCCATAAACTGCACAAATTTTATTGGTGGCTTGAGATGAATTTTTGCCTTTATCGTAGTAGTACTGTAAAATATGCCGTTTTTTTTCTCTTTATTTTGCTCCATGTTTGCGACGCTATATCTCAAGAATCACTTAAAAGAAACGGCAATCAATCAAACACATGTTAGCGCGTGAAATGAGCTTTCCGAAAAGATATAACATGACCCGATGCGACTCTCAGCGCCAACTAGCGAAAATACCGCAAGACTTTTTTGACAACCTGATATATTAAAATATTTCATAACCGTGATTACATTGTGCATACAAGGAATTTTTTTTCCCTTAAAACAAACAGCTGTCAAGAACACATTAATTGACATGGAGATTAAACTTCACACCATAATAAAAGTGGTTATACAAATTTTGGAAGGATATGATTTAACTGTCGCCGCTTACATAGAACAATCCTAGTCAATTTGGTAGGCGTCTGTAAGTAAAGCATGGTCTACCCGAAAAAGTTATACGGCTACGAACTATTGATTTGGCAGCCTTCCTAAATATTATTTGGAGAATTTTTATGACATAACAACATTGTTATTGTTGTAAAATAATGATGAAATATGTTAATTTGCAAAATCAGCCAGCAGATAAGGCAGCACTGAAAACTAAAGACAATGCGTGCGAAATGTTCGAATAATGAATATGCTTGTCCAATAATTGGCAGATAATTCCAACTTATCTGTCAGTAACTCGGCTCTTTGAATATTTATAAATAAATACAAGTACATTGAAGCGACCGCTCAAACAATTGTGTTTCTTAACTTGTTCAATCAACTACTAGATTTCAAATTCGTTTTTAAAATGAATACAAAATTCTGTCTGTTGTTTTTGTTCGTTTTGTGCATTGCTGCTTTTGTGACGGCGATGCCACAAGGAGGTGTGTAGTGAAGGAGTTGATTCCGTGAAAGCTTACTAATGCTTTGTTTTCTTAGACCTTACATACACTACTGACTGTGGCGAAAATGAAGAATACACAACCTGCGGCAACCTCTGTCCAAAGCGGTGCGTAGGAGGCCTTCCTTTCTGCTCACTGCGTTGCTTCATTGGCTGTCGTTGTAAAAGTGGTTATGTGTTGAATAAAGAGAACAAATGTGTCCTACCAGAGGATTGCTAAGTGATAAATATTGATGAAAATAATTATGTAATATTTTGAAAAAAAAAAGAAAATACAATTAAAGTTAAAATCTATTACTTTTAAATTAAAATTAAAATTAATTTTTTTTATTGTTGAAGTTATCTTTGTTTTAATTTTGTGCTATCTGCCAGCTGTTAAGATTACCGTGAAGCAATTATTGTGAATACTAAGTATTTAAAAATATATATTTTACAACTGGTGATTAAGATAGAAGCATGAATTATGTTTTCTTGTAATTGTTATTGTCATATTGTATTTCCGATACATGTGAATGAATACATCAGGTGGTTTATTGAGTCGCTCATTATTAACTGAGTAAATGTGTCATGTCTTATCAGAAGAGGAAGTTATGTGTAAAGTTTAAATGAAATTAAAAAAAAAATGTTACGATTTCATGTGTGATCTTAATTTTTGACTAAGTATTTTCTTTTCGCCCTCTGAAGTTTGCTTCTATATAGAAAATAAGTATATTGAGTTAGCCCACACTGATAGACCAACTTCCGTTCGTTTCAAGATGGTCTAAAAGAAGTATTAGAATACTTACACTACAATATCTGGTCATTTTCTCAGATGCCACACCTCCTTGTTTTTAAAAATTATGAAAAACCAAGTGAAAGGAACTATCTTCGTTCCACAACCGTCTTTAACCCTTTTTCTATGAAAGGAACGGGTATAAAGAAAATTATTTCTATAAGTACATATAGTGTATAAAAAAATTAAGCTGTGCTTAAACGAATTTATGTCTAACTATTGTAAGATATTGCATAAAAATATTCTCAAAAATCACAACTCTTTTAATATACTCAAATAGTTAAAACATTCAAGGCTATATTCATTTCGTGAGCTATAAGCTTCACTAAAAATTCATTTCTTACTTTCATTTCCAAGAAGAATTTTGACTGACAAGTGTTTTTTTAGGTGCCTGGTTTTAGATTAGACAAACCTCTTTTCGAATTTAGTCTTGACAGCAGCTGTACTCAGTTTGGTTTGCCATTTAATGAGAAGTCTGCTCCAGAACAACGTTTAAAATTTGTGCGAACTTATTGCTAATTATTGCATCAAGCGTTGCGTCCAATATTCTGTTCATATAATCGACCAGCAGAATCGGTAATTCGAACAACCATGAATCAATATCGCACCTTGTTCACTTAAGTGAATAATGTACATCGTCAGAGATGTCGTATAGTGCGCATGACACTATTGCTTTGCTACTGTGAAGCAGAGCATCCAAGAAGATCCGAAAGAGTTTATCCGCCACCCACGCCACCCCACTTTATGGAAAATGTGGGGCAGTATCTTGGTATGGGAGTTAACAAAATCCGACTCGTGCAAGAATTGAATATGAACGGCCAACAAGCGCATCAAATGTTCAGTGAATGGCAACAAAACGTGATGGCCACCGATCTCGATTTTAGCAATAGAATTTTGTTCAGCGATAAAGCACACTTCTGGTTGTACTAGTACGTTAATAAACAAAATTTGTTTCATTCAAATGCTCAAAAATTTTCTTGTGCTGTTTAGGCATATTTCTCATATTCCATAAATGAAGTCAAAGGGGAGCGTTATAGAGCTATGATTATTGAATTTTTATTGGTTGAAGTGGAGGAGTATTGTGTTAAAGTGGACAGCTTTTATTTTTGACAAAACTGCATTATATGCCATAAACCCGGTGCAACAAACAATTTTTTGAAAACTTCTTGTGAGCGCATTATCTCATCCTCTAATATTGTGCATTTTAACAGCGCTGGAGTTTTTTTGTTTTTGTTTTTGCTGTGTGAAGTCACTTGTCTACACAGGTAGGCCCGAAACGATTGACGCCTTGGAAGAGAATATCTTCTTATCTTCAATAATAGTATTTACGTCTCGTAGTAATAATTTTTATGTATTGTATGTAAGTTTAATAATTAACATTAATTATTTTCTTAAAAATATCTGAATATTTTTGCACTGAAATGCACCTGGTTGTAACAATTTTGAGTTTCTTAGAAATTGTTTTATATATGTATATATATATATGTATATTTAGCAAGTAATTTGAATTAATAATCGCTGAGACTGTGCAGTCGAACTGCTATCAATGGAAATGATTCATGATTAGAGCAGACGTGTCTACGTTGTATTATCGACGGAAGCCGTAAGGCCCGCTCGGAGGAGACATGAAAGTTTAAACGTGCTTTTTCCAAAACTTCATTTTTTACAATTACCGTAAACACAACTTACCGAATTAGAACAGGGTATATATATTTTGAAAGCAAATTATAGTAGAATAAAACTTCAAGGAAAAGGAAGGTATATTAGATAAAAAAAAGAAAATAGAATTCATGTACGTATGATCTGCTATCGATTTCCGGCAAAACTTGAAGCTCCAGAGAAGAAAGTTGTATAGCAAAGTTGTAGGTAATGAAAAGATGTATAAAAGGTGTTACTTAACCTAAAAATGTATGTGAAAAATTCAAATGAAAAAATGTTTGGGATTTTTTTACCCTAAACTAAGCATATTAAATTCGCCACAATGTTTGGAACACCCAAAAGGAAATGCTGAAGATTCTATAATGTATATGTATATTAGGTAGTCGAAAAAGTATTTTCGTATTGCTAATCAAACTTCAGCTAATTTTTTGTTTTTTTATTTATACTAATAAATAAACATATATGTATCATTGTGGTCGACCATTTTTACCATTTTTCCACTAGAGACATTATTCCATCAGCGTAAATCGGAAATTTCCAGAAGGAAGCAAACGAACGTACTGTATCGTTTACAAATTTAATTGGTGGCTTGCGTGACATTCTTTCCTTTTTTATGCAAAAATTTCAAAATTTTGCGAACTTTTTCATTATTTTCACTCATTTTTGAACAGCTGTAACTTTTTGTCAATTTCCCCGAATTTAATTTAATGTGACTGGTAGCACTGCAGCAACATCAATTCACAAAATACGAAAAGACTTTTTCGACTACCCAATATATAAATGGGAAGAGTGACGAGCTGAGTCGATTTGATCTGCTTCATCCGTCTGTTCGTCTGTATATACGCGAACTACACCTTCGGCTTTTGAGATATCGACTTCAAATTTTGCACGCGTCTTGTTCTCGCCTAGAAGCTGCTCATTTGTCTGAACCACCAATATGGGACAACTAAAGAACATAGCTGACATAAAACTGACCGACGCAACCCAAATCACTGTAAGGTAACCTTTTTATTTTACAATATACGTTAAAAAAAAATTTGTTATGGGTAATTGTCCAATTCGCTATAATCTCCAAGAAAATATTTCAAATCCGCCAAAGTTTGAAAATTAAGTCAGAATAAATTCCACCTCATACACTAGCATCAACGCTAGCACCCTAGTATGAATATTTACGTAAACACACTCATCTAAAATATATATTTATACATATAATGGTGTATGTGTACAAATAGTCAATATGTACACCCATGGAAAAGTAAATATTTTAGAATCATCTGTTCGTAACTCGTTCGTTTAGTCGATTATGTATAAATAAAAGTGCGAGAAATCTGTTACTAAAATAACAGTGTTTCTCAGCTCGTTCAGTCAACCAGTAAGAAATTCCCAATCGCTTATAAAATGAACACAAAATTCTGTTTGTTGTTTTTGCTCGTTGTGTGCATTGCTGGTTTTGTGTCCGCGAAGCCACAAGGAGGTGAGTTGTGATTTAAAAAAAAAAAAAATAATAATAATAATACAAAAAATATGGTAGCCTCGTAACCTTTCATATTTCTTTTCGTACAACTTAAAGGCTCTGGCTGTGGGCCAAATGAGGAATTCACAAGCTGCGGCAGCGCCTGCCCGCCAAAATGCAACGAGGGTAGCGGTCCAAACTTTTGCACCCTGCAATGCATTGTCGGATGTCAATGTAAAACTGGTTATTTGTTGAATGATCAAGGTTTATGTGTGCAACAAAGGGATTGTTGAGTGACAAACAATTATACTTAGATTGACTTAAGCAAGTAATGACGTGTGAAAAAAGCAATCGAATGAAATGTTATTGTTTGGAACTATCGGCTACTGGGTGGTATGATAGTGTTAAGATTGTTAAATAATTGCAAATATCTAAATATGTCTACTATACAAATAAAAAATTAAAAAAAAAAAAATGGTTTTGAATAATTTCATAGTAAACATCTTTGAAAGAGTGTGACTAAAACTGAAGGGAGAAGTGGAACTACTCAAACTAATTTTTCTTAACTCTAGAGATCTACCGTATATAGTATATAAATTCTGTGACACAAAAATGGAGGCGTATTCAATAAAGACGTAAGCGTGTATATTAATAAAATATGGTTAAAATTTTCAGAGCTCAAGCGTCAAACTGATAAGGGCACAAAAAGTCGTGGAATGTCATATTTTGTAATTGATGTTCTAAAGTGCCGACGTTCAGCTAGTTTATTCGCGTCGATATGAGGCTGTGGCCTTCTTAATAAATTCCTCTTCGTTCACCGACTACTTAAACTTTAAACACTCAACAATGCAATAACAGGCAATTTTTATATGATCCCTTAGACAACTAGACAAAAAAGAAGAAAACGTTACCTTCGTTCGGTTGCAGTGAAACAATAATAGCCTTCCCGAATTCAAAAGATTTCTTACGAGAACCTGTATTTGATCGGTCACTTTGTACAGCAATAATACGGTATAGTGGCTCTATCTGCATAATACCTTCGGATAAACGTACCGTTGCCTTGGGCAAAAACGAACATTTGGTAATAATATAATTTGTAGTTATCCATACAAGAACTTGATTCCGATCGTTGTATAGCAGTTATATACTATAATAATCCGATCGAAGCAAATGCTTCGGAGATTGTAACATTGCTTTAGATAATAACTCTTGTCACATTTCGTGAATATATCTTACCAACTAAAAAATGCTTTTCTCATACTTTTCTTGATTCCGATCGTTCCTTTTTTTATAACTGCTCTATGCTGTATTCGTACGATATCGGCCTCTTCGACAAAGAAGCAACTTTACGGGTAGAAAAAGCCGCGTAATGATCAAAGGACTTGCCAAAACTTTGACTACTGAGAGGAAAATGGCGGCTTTCTAGAAAAAAAAATTTGTTTGAAAAATTTACACTTCAGAGTGGCTTAAAACTCAATATTGTTATAAAAAGTGTCTTGCCTTCCATCAATACCTGACAAATATATCCGATAAGGTGTCCTAATAATTTCATTGATTACACTAAGTTACAAAAAAAAAAAAAAAAAATATTACAAATATGTTTGTTTATCCCAAGATATTGGTCGGATCATTTCTCACAAAAACTACGTTTAACTACGGAATTCTCTTATAGCATTTAGAATCACAAGCAGCATTTATGGCAACTGTTCTGTGAACTTATAAAGGGTTTTTACCAATATATGTAGCCTACTTAACTGTAAAAATAACATAGTTGTGCAAATTGATCTTTTCCGTTTATTAACAAAAAAAAAAAAAAAAAAAAAATTATAATGCCAATTATGTGTTTGCCAGAATAATTTATTGATACCGGTATAATTTTTAAAAATTTAAATGCACACAATACCATTAAATTTAGTTATGATTTATTTGAAAAAAAAAGTGAGTAGCTTATAGCTACTTCTAACTATTTAATAAAAACAGAATGAAAACCCAAGTATCTTGCAACCAATGACTCGCACACAAGGCGACACTAAAAGTAGTAATTAGAGAGATAAAAACCAAACAATTAAACATTTCAGTAATTTGTGGTTAAAATGCAATAACGTCATACAATTTTTTGTTGTGGCCAACTATTTATAGTTTTTCACAATTATTAAACTTTTTTTTAGACTATAATGCTGTTTATAGAGAATTATTATTGAAATATGGAACATGGTATCAGTGCACTGTAGTAAAATCGACCAGTGTCACAACAACAAGATCTATAACATAAAATATTGCTGACTAGCAGAGTTATCAGACCCGTTCGTCTACTTTGACTCAATCATATATATCGAAGCAAATAAGGAACACTAACGTATGTGTGCTTTATTTATAACAAAAAGTTGAAAATTAGAAAAGCTTCGAATAAAGAAATATTCAACAAATTGAAGAGAAATAAGATTTTAGTGTTCTCATATGGAGCATAGTTGAAGAGATAGAGTTATTAAGTAAATATGACTAATAAAACAAAATATGAAAGACTTTTTTCTTCACGGCTCTTTCTTCAAGACTGAATAGAGGAAATTCTAAAGACACTAATTAAAACATTTTTTTGGAAAAGAGTTATCATCAATCAAATGAGCTATCACCTTTTAAAATATAATTTAATTAGTTCCTTTAGAATTTTTTCCATGATTATTTATATGCTCTTGCCATTACGTACTCACATTTATATTGCCTTCTGGGCAACTCTTTTCCAGATGTTTGAGATTTGGAAATTGAATATCTAGACAACTTCCTTAGTTTCCCTCTGCTGGGAGATATTTTGTAAATTACGAGTTTTATTTCCACAAATGAAAGTTATTTGCATTAAACCTCTCCAAAGTATTTTCGCAAAGCTTTTCTGTGAAACTCGTATGAATCAGTAAGAGCTCCAAAATATGGTAGATCCTAAACTAAAGACCTCCCAAATACATGCCGCAATATTTTCCATATGTTTTCATATCTTTTGTAATATTTTTAGTACTTTTTCTCTAGATGGCAACTATTTTTAATACGGTACTAGTCAGAGCTCTTTCTTCATGTCATTGATTAAATATGACAACTTCAGTAGCTTAAGATCAGCATTCAAACATATTTTGCGGCTGCCGATTCGAGATCAATATCTATTTCATACGCTTTTGATATAATAAATTTTTGTTGGACTTTCACTTTAGGAAATCAAAAATGTCTATGCTCCATCTGCTAAATTTAATATTAGGAATTCTGGCTTTCCCAGAATTTTTGTCTTATCTTTTTGGACAATATTTTCACGGTATCTGAGGAAAAAAGGTATAAACTTTTATTTGTGCTAGGCTAGTGCTATGTTAGGGTAAATGGCCGATCCCTCACCATAGCGGAAATATCACACTTAGACTTTTATGTTACCTACTTTGTGAAACTAGTTCAGTGGTTGGATATTAGATATCGAAAAGGCGCCTTGAATGAAACACAAATCTGCTTAGGTGTTTTATTTCTATTTTGGCTATTTCAACTAAATGTCTGAAAGTATGGAATCTCGATATTTTTGCCTTGTTCTGGCCAAAACGGGACATCCAAAAGATAAGTATTGAGATAATTCTTTATCATCTTCTTCCAAACAGACTGCATCAAGGAAATCAAAGATATTTTTCGTACTCTATGGTTCCTTTGAAAGTTTTGCTGATTTTTTGTAAGATTTCGCTATCGAAATCCATTAAAGTTCGACAGAGCATACTTAACTATTCAAAAAGTGTCTCGGATATATTTTTTCTATCAACTGATTCAAAAATATGAAAATCAAATTTGAAAATCACGATACTCGCGCTTAATTATCGTTATATCAATAGATTAAGCGAATAAGTCCAACATCCTTCCATCAATCAATGATCGGATGAAAGTTTTCCTTAAAAATATTTCAGTTCATTCATAATTATATATTATGCTTTATGACCACTTTAAATACAAATATATATACGCTCAAGCACACGCACACACACACTCGTAAAGTGAAATTGCGTCCTTGGCCATGACACCATTCCAAACACACACACAACCAACGCGCAGCCACACCACAAGCAACCTGTTCGCAAACCAAAAACACAAATTCCGCTCAGTTGTAAATTACAAATTTCATTTCATTTCAACGAGCGTGTTGTCTTGGCCAGAAGGAATAAAACGAAAAGGCAACAACAAGAGCGGCAACATGAAAAAAAACAATGCAAGCAGCAAGTTGTGCAAATATGGCAAGTGTGCTCAATGAGGTGGCGGTGGCCGCGGCTATTATTGCGGTTGCTGCAGATAAAGTGTGCCACATACAAAATGGGGCAGCAGTGCGTGCTAACATACAAACATACATGCATACATAACATATACTTACATGTATGAAAAATGAAATAATTGTGGTTGTTTGTTATGGCAGTGAAAAGTGATGAATAATTTGATTGTATGTCAGTTAGAACAAACTGAAAATCGCAACTAAATATGAAAAGTAACAATAACAATAAGTTAAGCGGCTATAAGCACATAACTACTTGTGGTGTTTCGAAAAATCGATTTTTTCTGCTAATGTTAAAATATGTGAGCTTATTCTCCAAAAATTTGAAGTTGATCTCGCAAATCGTGTGGGAAATATGAGCGTATTTGTGTAAATTTTTAACTCATAGCTCAACAGCTTTAGATTAATTTATCAAAAAATCATTAAAGGAATAAGATTACAGATAATAATTGCGATTTTTTAAACCTTAAATGTTCCTTTTTCACAAAAGTGAACATATGAAAAATTAAATTTTTTATTAGTCCTTCGATTCATAGCGCTAGTCATCTATTGTATTAATAATTATGTATACCCTGAACAGGGTTTAGTTTTTCACGAAGTTTCTGACACCTAGAAGGGAACGTCGGAGACATAAAAACTCAACAGCATGACGAACTGAGTCCATTTAGTGATGTCCGTCCATTTGCGTATATGCGAACTAGTTCCTCAGTTTTTCAGAGACTGATCTGAATTTTTTTCCTTTTATACCAAACAAAGGTACTCATTTGTCGCAAGCGCCGATATCAGATCATTATAGCATATAGCTGCGAACGAACTAGCGGAATTAAGTACTTGTATGGAAAACTTCTTCGTTTGACGAAGTATTTTTACGAAACTGGAGACCGATTATTGTACAAGATAATTGCACGATGTCCTACGAAATTGTTACAGATCGGACAACTATAACACGTATATACAAAATTCTATAAATGTTCATATAAATTTATTTGTTATACTCTCACAATAAAGTTGCTAAAGAGAGTATTATAGTTTTGTTCGCATAACGGTTG